GGCGCGGTGGGGGTGGCCATGTTGGTTCCCGCCGCCGCGGCCGGCCGGGCGGCGAGGGGCGGCTCCTCCGGCGGCGGGGAAGGGCCGCGTTCCCGGCACGCCGTGCCCGCAGGCCCGCGGGGAGGGAGCGCGGGGTCGGTAAGGCACGGGTGCGCTGCTGGGGCAGCCGCGACAGCAGCCCGGCTGGTGAGACTCGGCAATCGAGTCTTTGCCCGGTTGTGTCATCTTTTATTCGAGAGTTTGGCTTTTTTAATTTTTTCAGACCTTTCATGATAATGCAGTATTTCTTTTTGTTTTTTCCAGGTGATAAGTTATGTTCATGGTTTTATGCTCGTTCTTACAAACGTAGCCCCAGCCTGCACTTCCATAATGAGCTGGAGCAGCTGGAAGTGATCCAAGTACAGTTGTTATTCTAATCCCACATGATTGTGTATCATGAGGAGAGGACAGCAGAAGACTCTGTTAGGGTTACAAGAAAACGCAGTTAAAGAGGGCTGCTGTCTTGCTGCTGTGCATACTAGCTGTGGCTAAATAACCAGTGTGCTGTTTGGGGAGGCTTTGTAACATTTAGACCAAGGGAAAAAAAGTTTGAAAATCAGTGGCTTTATATAAAGACTAGTTTTGCCCTCTTGTGTAAGGGACACTGATTTTTCTCTTAATGGTGTTCTTCTGTGAACCAAACCCCTTTTTTTTTTACCTACGAGGAAGAGATTGAAGCAGATCAGCATTTATAAATTGCATGGCAGTTCTGTACAGGCAGAGTCAGTTATTAAGAGTGCAAGACAGACCACCAGCAGCACCCTCCCCATGTTCCTCAGTCAGTGCTAAACACTTGTTTTCACATCCGAAAGCCAATCTTTGAGTTGTTGCCCACATATTTGAAGATGAGGGCTTCCTCTCAGTGCCGTGCTTTGTGGTGACTGGAGCTTAGTAGGAATTGCAATAAATAGTTTGTAATACAGACTTCATAAATTGAAATGACTCTAAAGGCCTGGGCCTTGTGGCTTTCTCTGCTGTGCTGCTGGCACAGAAAACTGCCTTTGCACCCTTTTCTCCATTAACTCCATCTGCTCTTTGAGGTAGATCCGAGCCTAATGTAGCAGAAAGTATACAATTGGTTTTGTTATGCTGTGTCCCAGCAGGATTGATTGCCCAGATCCAGTTCACCATGAGCAGTTATGCTGAACCCTAAAAGCAGAAGATGGGGCAACACTCCCAACAGTTTAAGTAGTTAATGCAGCTGTTGAATGTTCTGCCGTAGCTGCAGTGTGTTCACATTCAGGAGTCAGCTATCACCTGTGCTTGCTTATTTTCAAATCGAAGTAAATAACAAAGTCTTTGTTGATTGTCCTTGTAGGTGGCTTCCCTTTCCTGCCTCAGCCTAAAGTTGGACGTGTGTAGTGACTGAGGTCAGGGGTGTTGCAGAAATGCTGCGTGCTTTGCAGCTGAACAATTTAATTGCATGTGCGGTTAGGGATTACCTCTTGATCATATGGAGGCCTTTGTGTTGCTCACCTGCAAAATCTGGACCTGGGTTTGTAGAGATGTCATCTGTAATGCTTTCCTGGTGGGAGCATGTGTCTTGGGAAATGAAAATACAACTGAGTGTGCGTTGGCTTTTGTGTTTATTTAATACGGACTTCTACTAAGATCAGTGATGTTTCTAATACTGTCATGGTGTCAAAAGTAGCATACCTTGAAAGTCTTAAGAGGCTTGAAAAATGTTTCAGACTGTTAACAAATACAGAAACTTGAGAGTTCTGTAGAGAATCCCATAACAGTTGTCAAAAAAGCAAGATTATTCTATCTAAATACAGAGCAATTGCACAGCGGCTTACTTTTCCATTGTAGGGAGGACATAAACCTTTGCAACACTGACAAGTTAAAATTCTCACTTTTTCTTGTGATGTCTAGCTTTTTCTTTTAAAAATATTCACATTAATTTTTGAGAATATTCAGAAGTGTCACCTGTCAGAATGCTCATACAGCCTTTGAGGATTAGATGTGATCAAGTAAAACCACACATGCAAAAGTCCACACCAAAACCAGTAGTAATGCTTTAGTAAACAGTAATTTATGAAAGGTGACTTTAAAATGTATCTGCACAAAGCCTATGACTTCTAGGTGCGTATGAATCTAGTCCCTCATTGTGCAGTTTGGAAATAGCATCATGATTCTTTTATATTTTTGTTTAACAACAGTTATTGTCATAAATGCAATTCTTGTAAATTTAACTCAGTTTTTTTTAGCCTACAACAGTGACATTTCAGTTATCTGTAATTTGAAAAGTGCTTGTTTGAGAAGGTAATAATATATGGTGGGAATCAAAACTTAGTTTAAGTGAAACTATTATCTCAAGGGGTTAGAAACATACTGGTGTAGGACCTTAAAATTCTGGGAAGTTTATAATAGCTCCTAAAATTCTGGAAAGTTTATAATAGCTCCTAAAACTCAGTGTAGGCTGAAAGGTATTTATTTTGCATTATTTGCAGACAGGTGGCATGTAAGTTGAATTAAACTTCAGACTTGCTCTTGTTGCTGGGTATTTCTGCTGTAGAAGTCAGTGACCTGCTCTGCTTGAAGTCAGTATAGCATTAAACTGCAGCATTGTGAACACAGTTGCTTGCTCATTGCATTTTGCTGAAATGATACAGGATAGATGTACCTTTCATGCTGTTTTATAATGGAGAATATTTATCATAAGCTTTTGAACTGTAAATAACATTTGAGTGAGTATGGAACTTCCTCTAAGAGGAGTATGTTGCACATCTTGTAAATTTTTTGAGATAAACACTTTTCTGAAAGCCATTTTAAATAATTGCATTTCACACAGCATATAAAATACCAAACTTATTTCAAAGAAATACATAAAAATAGCATATGAAATCAAGCTGTGGTTCATTTACTGGTACTACCTGCAGGTGTGGAGGTACATGGGAAACTTTTTGATGGAAAATGTGTCCCTTTTGGCAGCTTTGTAAAGATTAGTTTGAATTTTGAGGAGAGAGGAGGGGAGCATTAAATAAGGGATGTTGGTAGAGTGCCTGTGTTGTGAAAGAGAAATGCAGACTTTAAATGTGAATTAATGTGACTTTTTCCTCAGATAAGTTATTTTTCAGTTTTGAAATATTCTATAGTCAAGATTAAACTTGAGTTTAGAAACTGTTTATTATCTTGCAGTAGTCCTTGTTTCTTGCAGTTGAAAACCTGTTCCTGTGTAGGACACTGGCGTTAGGAAGGTGTGAGTGTGTGATGTGCAGATGTAAGTGTGCTGTAACACGACTCTTGTTAGTGGCCTTCACGTGCCAATTGTCCCTGAATTCTGTATAGTGGATGTAAGGCAGAAAAGTTTTAGCTGTTTAAGTTTTTTGGGGGCTGTTTTTTTTGGGTTTTTTGTTTGTTTTTTTAAATAGAGGTCTGTTTCTCTTGTGCTCTGTGCTGTTCATCAGATAACCTGTATGTATGACATCCTTTGCAATCACTGGGCATACCAGTAGTACATCCAGTACTTTTTCTTTGAAGACCTCTCTTGACCATTCTTACATTCTACATTAAATTCCTTTCTGAAGATTGAATGTATTGTAAATTTTCAGCGGATATAAAATTCTCTGTTGAACCAGAGGCTCAGTATACTTGGGAAGCATGTAGGTCTTTTGTGTAGGAGTGTTTGGGGAAATTAGAGGCTTTTTGTTCTTTGAATCATCTGAACTGTTCTCACAGCAGTTTTGGTAAGTTTTCTTGTCTGAGTGCCTTAGAACTGCAGAATGTTATATGTGGAAACTCATCCTATGGGTAGATTTTGTGTTCCAGTAGCAAAGGCAGCAGCAGAGTGCAAACTGAGGTCTTAGCACAAGGGGAACTTGCTTAGACAGCTACAAAGACACTGAGCAGTTTGATATTCCTTGTAAGCTGTTTGCTAATGCTAGTTTGTGAGTTAAATGGTGAAAATCTGATGGGCATTTTCAAGTATATATAATCCATTTTTCAAAAGTCAAAAGGGCTATACATAGTCTTTATATCTTTTAAATATGAGGTGATGTTTCCTAGAAAACCTTTGACCATGGAGGAAGTATGTGACTTTTTTACTTGGTCTTTTATTCCTGTTCTGCACGTGTGCTGAATTTCTGTTGTGAAGTGAGGGGACATCACTTGGCTAAAATCAGGTTTGTGTTCTAATAGCAATTGCCTTTCTAAAAATCTGTGGTGGTCTAAGTAATGATGAATGCAGTTAGGATAGTTGTTCTGTTATATCTTGCTGTGTCACAAGTAGAAGTCCTTTCTTTGTCCTGGTGTCTGGAAATCTGCTTCACACTTTGATTGGCAACAGGTGGCTCTTAGTACCTCTCTTCCAGTTGCTGTTACATGTACTATACATTTTTACCTCTCTACATTCATTCCTCAAGAGTTGTGTGTTAAATAATCCCTTGGTTTGTTTTCTTACAAGATGTAAGTGTACTATACATTATTTTTACCTCTCTACATTCATTCCTCAGAGTTGTGTGTTAAATAATCCCTTGGTTTGTTTTCTTACAAGATGTAATAATTGCTTCTGGGTGTGCTTTAACCTTTTTTTTATTTTTGTCCAGAATTTTTGAAATAAGTAGCTCTTGAATTTTGTTCCTTGGAAATTATCCTAACTGTAGTGTCATAGCAGTTATCCACAAGACATGTAAGGACCAGCAGATAGTAGAAACTGTTTTTCCCAAGACATCAGGTAACTGGGGCATGCAGTTTCCTTATTTTGGAAATCCTAAACAAGAAGGTGAAAACTCCAGAATGTAACTTATTTTGATTTAATGTGAGAAGACTTGGAAAGCCTCTTCCACTAATTAATTCTCTTAGCCTTCACCAAGAGCACGTAATAGTGCCAGGTTATGTCCTTTTGGGCAGTAATTCTTGCACTCCAACTGGACTTGCTGAACAAGTTCTGTAGACAACTAATGACATGAATGTGGTCTGGGCAGCATCTGAAAGCCCTTGGTAAAACCTAGTCAAGCTGCTTGTTCTCCTTAATAAACAAACCTGATGAAGCAGTTTTTATTGCAAATGTTTTGTTTCCTGTCCTGGTGACATGCACACCTTTCTTGGATATGTTGGTCATTATGTGCTGTGGAGAAAGAGTAAATAACACTAATTAAATTTGCAAGTGTCCGAATCCAAGTAATTGCAGATATACAGTCATTAAATGCTGAGTAGGCAAATGTTTCATGGACTCTGCAGGCTGATTCCTACATCAAAAACCATGTGGGTGGTGAATAAATGTCACTTAATTATGTGCTGTCTTGTGGATGAGAAGTGGGATTGGCCATGTGAAGCTTTCCAGTTTATCTGGTAATACTACCCTATTTTATTACTTATATTTTAAAAGCAGCAAACTCAGTGGTTACTTAGTGTATAGAGTCAATTTTAGGTTAAAGAATACATTAGTTATGAGCAATGGTAAAGTACTATGAAGGATTTTAAATAAAGTAGCCCAGGAACTCCAGGTGGAGTCAGTCTGACTTTGGTTAATAGTGTTGCAATTGCAGGGTTCCAAGCTGTGAGTTGCTAAAATGTGGACATTAATTCATGTGGTATTTATAGAATAGAATTGTATGCAATTTCTTGTAGAATTTCTTGGACCTCAGGACTTTAAATACCAATTAACAAACTTACAGTTTCTATTTGACTAATAACAGTAAGTTATTTGGTTATATGCTTTGGTATACAAACATTTCATTTTGGTACTCAGAGCAGTGAGGTAAAGGTAAGATGAAAGGAAAGAGGAGCTGATAGTGATTAACCAGCCAAAAATTAAAATGCTTATTTTTCTGTTTTCCTTGATGGCTGTGGGAAACGGAAGGAAGTGAAAATAAGGTGGTTTAGGCTTATTTCTGAGGCCAGCCAGAAATAATGTTCTTTAATAGTAAGTTCTGGTAGTTATCCTTGATGATCCTAGCCTGTTGCTGAAAGAAAGTCTCTTCTGGTGGCGTAGTTTTTGAGGGAGTGGCACAGTCCTGGATCAGGGTCATAGTTAAGTGGGCCTTGGAGCTGAGCTGTCATTCTCTTGTTTTGGACAGGAGCTTGGGTAATGGTTAGTCTGAGTTTCATGAATGCCGTGTAGCTTTCAGAAAATCTAAAGGGACTTGATATTGTGGTAGCTTAGGTAAAATGTATGTGCTGAGTCAGGTGTCTTCTGTTTGTCCAAAACCAGAATTTCATGTAATTGTGTGAAGGATGATTATCAGTGTACCAGGCAGATGTTGAGGCTCGTTGCATTTTTCTTTTTGTCTGAATGTGCTACCTTAATCCTTTCGAATGTAGTCTTTTGTTAGAAGTTATGAAACAGTTTAGCCATGCATGTGCTCAGTGGCTTTGTATTGATTCTTCCATTTTATGTAGTTGTGATAATTCTGGAAGAGTGACCAGGGAGACTTTGGGATTAGCTCTTTGTATGTTGAAAGCTAGTTGCTGAGCAAACATGAGATTCTCAACTGAAATTGTTTTTGGAGGATACTCTGCATCTGCATTCAGCAAGAGGGAGTCTGTTTGAAGTTAAAATTCCTAGTGTAATAGCATTTGTAAATCAGTTGTGAATATTAGATATCACAGCTGCAGAGTATTATGACTGAAAGCAAGCTGTATCACAAAACCTAGTGCTATTCCAGTGTATCAGCAGAATACACTGGAATACACAGTACCATTTATTACTGTATTTGCACATGTAACTTTTCTGAATTTTCTAGTTAAGGTGCTCCTGAAGGAACCACACTTAAATTTTAGTTGTCTGGACGTGTTTCTTTTTAATACAATACAGGTAATGTGAAGGAGGAACTGTTGAAGTGCTTTCTTGGTGAATTGTACAGCTCCTGTGCACTTTCTGTCTTGACTTGTTCAGTGGGATGGTTTTGTGTGATTAAAGATGAATGATACCAAAAATAAGTGGGGGTAACACTAGAAATTCTATTCCAGATAGAATTTGATGGTCTTTTGAAGGTCTGCTTAGCTTTTTATAGTATTACACTGGAGGAGATGTGACAGATTTTTCAACACTGTGCTTCTGTGGGTTTTAGTGATGATCCCTTTGGGAGATCCTTAGAAAGCATTTAGTTTTATTTAAAGGAAGGGAATGGTGCTATTGTACTGTGTAAATCAAAGCACTGGCCAAGTGCTCCTGTTAAGATCTGACATGTCAGTCTCTTCACTGTGCCTGTGAGTGTTCTGAAATGTCATGAGGTGTTTTTCTAGGTGGGCTGTTAAACTAAAGCATACTTGATTATCTTCAACCACAAAGGAGTAACTTCTCTAATGTAAAGCACAATATCAGGCTTAGTAAGGAAATAATCATTAAATAATCATCATATCAATAATATATTGATAATGAAAAGAAAATCCCTGTTAAGACAGATCTTCAGGTGTTATCCAGGAGAGTTTGCCAGCTGGGTCAGTGAAGATTGAACAGTGTTATCACTTCAAATCCACTTTTCAACAGCTTTGGTGTGATAAATGTATGTGAAAGTATGGAGTTCCATTAGTTAAATTGCTTAGCATTACTTAATTCACTCCTATGTTATTATTTTCTGTTAAAACCACAAAATTTAAATTAATTTTTAAATACTACTCTTGTATTGCCGCATTTGGAAACGTGTAGAGTCTGAGTCTGCTGTACTTAGCTTTTATTTATATTACTGAAGTGCTTTTTCTTTCATGGGGTCACCTGTATAGGCAATTTGTGTTAGCTCTTGGGAAGGAGCTACAGTCCTCATTCTGTGTTTCTGTAATATTGTAGCATGGATTGCAGGTTGGGGAGGGATGGTGGTAACTGGCAGAGACACTTGGCCTCACAATAAAGTTTTGTATTCCCTGGTTTGAAGGAAAGGCATTAGAATTTCAAATCTGGCACAGTGACTTCTCAAACTGAATGACAAGCCTGAGGGGGTTTGTATGCAAAGAGAATATAATTTACTACTTTATGTTAAAGTATATTTAACATTTCTAGAGCTGTCTCTAGAAAGTTGAAAAATAACTCTTGAAATCAATCTAATACATACTAAACCAGTAAGTACATTTATTTCAGTTGGAAATTTGAGAATTGATGCGTGTTCCAATTCTGCTGTTTGGTTCATGATGATGTTGCAAATACAGAGATAACTGTGCGCTGGCTTGGCTTCTAGCTGCTTGCAGTAGCTGTTTTTAGATCTGAGAATTTTAGTTTTATCTTCTATTTGTATTAATAGATTTTTTTAAAGTAACAGAGCCTGTATGCCTGTTTCAAATGATGCTCTGTCAGAAGCTGATACAAAAAGCTTTCATTCTGAAGTTACTATTCTCTAAACTTATTTTAGCTGTGCATATTCTAGATAACATAGATTGTGTATTTCTAAAATAGTACTCAAAACTATTTCAAAGTTAGACAAGTATGTATAGCAAGCCATTTTGGAAACAAGTTACATAGGAAGCAAATCACTGAACAGCAGAATGCAAATTCCTGCAGTTAGTGTTTATTGTAACACCTGTTTAGATGTTGAAGAATAAAGGAATACAAATTCTGCTTTCATTATGGGATTTGGTCCCACAATCAAGATAAATCATAGGAACTCTTCACCCTTTCTGAAGTAACTTTAGAGAACTAAATCACCTCAATAAAAATTGAGAAGGAATGTATTAACTCCTTTTTTTCAAACAGGAAACCACTCCCAACCCCCAACCTGCAGAAGAGGAGAAAACTGAACCAGCACCTAGTCAGGAGGTTGCCAACCCTGAACAGTATATTAAACATCCACTACAAAACAGGTAAATGATACAGAAACTGATTATACTTTTGCCAGGGATAGAAAAATGCCTGTGGCTTTGCAGCTCTTGTTGACCTTATATTCTCTAGCAGTATTTTGAGAATTCTCAGTGGTTTTTTGAAGATTTTTGCAGTGGGGCTGCAGAGTAAGGAGATTCGGCTCCAGATGTTAATATTTAGAGTCTTCAGATAATGCAGTTACAGAAGCTGAAAATCTTTGCAAGTTTTCAAAATGCATCCAGGTACTTTGAAAGAGCATGACTTTGCTTTTAGTTGGAGGCAGACAGAGCTTTTGCTGGTTATTGTCTGGTGTATTTTAAGAGGCTGACACTGAGGTGAAGCTGCTGCCCACTAGAGCTGGGAAACCTTGCATTCTGCCTTGTACTTGGGTAAATTAAGGTGCTGGTGGTAAAAACTTGTAGTTAAAATTATTTCAAAGTTAGAAAATCAAGCCCTCTTAGAGCTTGAAAAAGACCAGCTTGGAAGTAATTTTCTCCAAGTGAGATGATGAGTTACTGTGGAATGCTCAGTACTTTTGGCAGGTGCCTTTTACCTAGTGATACCTTACTCTTTTTCTAAGTTTTCAGCAAGTGTGGAAAACACTGGTTCCCTGTAGTGATATACTGCGTGTATCCCATTTTCCTTGTTGTCTTTCAGCTTCCATCTTCCTTCTCTTCTAAATACCTTGACTAAATTGATGCTAACAGTTCTTTACAAGTGTTAGTGAGGCTATTACTAGAATGGAGTAAACTTTTAAAACTAGGTTTGAAATGACAAACCTAGTCTCAAAACAATGGATTGACACCTAGTGACTTAAAGCTCTCTGCTGAGAGAAGATAAATATAGCCTAGTGCTAACCTGAGTTATTTCAACACTACTGAAATTATCAGAGTGGAAAAAAACCCCAACTATTTGATTAAATGCCTCATTAGGTATCCTCTTCCAGCATTTTAAATTGCTGCAATGATGCTTTTTAGATTCAGAAAGAGCATCTCTGTGTGAAAGGTTCAATTCTGTCTTGATATTTGTACTCAGCAGAGATGATTTTTTTCATTCAGTCTTGTCTTTATATATGCTGATTTAAAAACTTGAGACAATCAGTTTGTGGGGATTTGAGGTGGTTGCCATTAGTAAGCTTAATGCAGCTTGCATTTTAAAATTTATACTTTCCTAGTATGTGAGTGCTTGGGAAGCTTTCATGTCATACATAGCTTTGGAGTGATCTAATTTGCTTGTGTAACCTTTACAAGGAAATTACTGGCCAGGGAGCTCAGTTTGAATCATTGGTGTTGTTTTAGACCATCATCAGTTGTTTGTGGTAGGGGATTGCAGTTCAGCAGTGACTGCAAAGAGAAAGATCTGAAGTTTAGAGTCTTAAAAGAATTGCAAAGCTATTGGAAATATTTGCCTAATGTATTGATAAGTCTGCCACTATTCTTGTAATGAAGGCACAAACATTGTTAGTCTGTAAAGAATTGATAATGTAGCTTATTGATGAAAACTGACTTCCGTGGTCATGGTCGTAATATATTTGCAATTAGTTTGAATATAACAATAGAAATAATTACATTTTTAATATACTTTAATTTCTATGGTTTTATTTTGTTCTCGTTTAGATGGGCACTCTGGTTTTTTAAAAATGACAAGAGCAAAACTTGGCAAGCAAATCTTCGTCTTATCTCAAAGTTCGATACTGTTGAGGATTTTTGGGCGTAAGTAAAGATTTTTCAATCTGCACAATAATTTTGAGATTTGTTGGCAAAGCTTATGTCAAAGTCAAAAAACCCATAAAGTACTCCATTAACTGCAAATTCTTGTGTGTAATCTGAAATGTTTGCAAAATTCAAGGTGAAGTCTGTTGGAGAAAATGCAAATGGAGAAGTTATTCATCCTTTAAATGCACATTGTCTTGCTGAAACTCTGCAACACAGCTTATATTCATGTGTACGTGACAGACATGTAGAACATTTAATTTGTGCAGTAGCTATCTCATAGTAACATGATCCTGTAAATTCTGGTGGCCAACTGATTGCCACTTCCATGGCCCCACATTTTCCTTTTTGATTAAATTGACCACTGGCTCATGTTGCATGTTCAAGAGAGCCTGAATCTGGAGTGTGGAGTTGAGACTCACACAGATGAATGGCATTGTTGAAAAAAATTTGGTAGCGGTTACAGAAGAAATGACCTTCATCCTAAGTTGAAGGTCTGTGAGAGTGGTTAGGCTCCAACAGCAATAAAAGCCCCTGAAGGTGGTCCTGTGCTTTCCAAACACTTGCTTCAATCAAGATTTTACCTGCCATAATGCCAAAATATGGTGAAAATGCTAGTGCTATGAAATTGAGAGTGAAGAAAAAAAAAGCATTGTATATTTGATCTTAGTCTTTCATGCTACATTGAGTGGTAAGGTTCTTATTTTGTTGCATACTTTTCTGGTGATCCCTGTGGAGGGAGATGGGGTCTGGGTGTAGTAATAGGACCCATCAGTGACCCAGTAGCACAAGGAGGGAAAATGCTTCTGCCTTTTCAGTAACTTTATTGGTGCAGTCCTGACAGGGAATGGGATTCTGGGCTCGCACTCTGCATTCCCACTCCTGCTGTGGGGATGACTGCAAACTGTGCTTCACTCAGCTGACAGTGGTGGGGTATGTGATGGGCAGCTGAGTTGTTTGAAGCTCACTACTAAAGTTGGTTAAGTTTTTGAGCTTCTATGACTGAGATATTCTTGATAATTAAAAAGTGCAGAAGTCTGCAGTGAAGGTATAAAATCAGCCACCAGCAGTTAAAGTTACACCTCCTTTGTGGCTGGAGTGGGCAATAAGTGTGTTGTTTTGGGGAGAAAATCTCAGTGTCAAGGTAAACTGTTAAATTTGTAACTGGTGTTACAAATTCCTGTGCGTGATTTCTCATTGTTAGAACATCAAAGTAATCAGTTTTCTTTTTGATGCTGAATTATGCCTTGATACTAGTTGGTCTTGGGGTACAGGTTGTTGTAATATGTGCAGGCCTCCTTCTGAAGTCTGACCTGTTAGGGGTGGAAAAAAGGCCTCTATCTCCTTGTTTCAGGAGATGACACTATGTACTCCTTTGATTGTTTTTGTGAATTGCATGGTTGTAAATTTAATTCTGAATATACATTTTATTGTCTATCATCTGTTCTTGACTTTTGAGTCCTTAATTTGAATTATAAGGCCTACAGCATTTGTACCTAGAGTGCTGTATCAAATAGCAAGGTTGAGCATTTCTCCTAAAAAAAATTCTCAGCAGTGTGAGTAGCCCTAGAAATAGAAACAGTTATCCTTATTCCATGAATGCATTGAATACTCATGGCCACAGAACCTGCTGCCCTAAAAGCTCAGTGAGTTATGTTCTAATAACTTTGAACTTCAGTTCTAAACCTTAGAACTAGGTTTAAAAGAAGCATTGGGAATGAGTTTAAAAACAGTTGTGGAGTTCCTATTCCATTCTGCTGCTTTAACCCAAGAACATCTTAATACTGATACTTTTATATTGTTAAAAATACTTAAGAAATAGGGTTGCTTCTGAAATAACTTTATTGCTCCTTAATTTTTGGGCTTTGTTTGGTCATAGGTCTTAAATTCTTTAAGAATTTTGTACCTTAAAACAATGCTTAGTTTCTAATCCTGCTTTTTTCCCTCCAATAGTTTATACAACCATATCCAGCTCTCTAGTAATTTAATGCCTGGTTGTGACTACTCGCTCTTTAAGGTAGGCTTGCTAACATTTTTTTCTTTAGTTAAGGATGTTGATGGATGATTTCCTGACTAAGCAAGACACTGTCCAGATATTTCACTTAAGACATTTAGGAACATGGTTTGTTATGTCATAAAGGTGTTATTTTTTTTTAAGAAGTCCCAAACATTGTCTGAAAATCAGAGTGTCACTACTTCTGAAATTTTAAGTACTTGCTTTAACACATTACAGGCAGTAGATTTTAATCTGTAACTCTTAGTGTTTGTTTTACATTTGAGATGTTTGTGCAAACAATTAAGTGTAAATTTTGCTAATGTGAAAGGTTTTCCAGTTCTGTCACTTGATGTGAAATGAGTTAAAATGTCTGTGGGACTCAGCAGTGTTGATCAGTGTTACTTATGGGTGTACTGCTAGCCAGATGCACAATACTGCTATTAATTTTTATACTAACAGTAAATGCTGTATTACTTAAGCACGAAATAGAAAAGTGCACCAAACATGGACAATATGAAAATGCTGAGGAAGTATCCAGGCTAGTAAATAGGGAAAGTGTACATGAAGTCATGCCTCAGCTGGGGTGGTGATCTGAATTGGGGCTCTGAGTTAAATCCAAACCTCTTGGTAGTGCTTCTATCATGCAGCTTCCTTTCTGGATTCCAGCACCCAAATAGTCCCTGAAGTGCCGGTGCCTGATTCCTCTGCTCATAAAATGTAGCTGCAGGCTGGGGCTTCTCAGCAGCCTGTGTGCCCTGTTTGTAGACCCAGCAGCTTCATGTAGTGAAGAGGTGCTGCTGCTTGGGTTTGGAAAGGTAGTGGTGTTCTAGGTGACTGAGAAAGCCTAATCTCTGAAGGGCCTACAGCTTCTTAAAATTCTAGTAAGCTATCTATGAATAATGTTTGTATTTTTTGCATCAATCCTTAATTTGTGTTTCAAGTACGTGTATCTGTTCTGTGTTTGCTCGTCTTCAAGCAGTAATAATTATATAACTTCGTGGAACAGGTATAGAATTGGCAACTGTTTCAGGTTTCTGAGCAATCTCTTACTGCTGTCCTTCAGTTGTGACCTCTTAAGAGGTCCTCTTAAAGGTGATGAAGTAGTTTAAGCTCTGCAGCTGCCAGTGAGGGTGTTACATTTAAAGTGAGATGACACCACTCCATCCTGCATGTTGAACACTTAGTTTTCAGCCATAAGTTTTGTCGTGCAATTCTTAGTGGACAGTTCTTAACAGAATTCTTCTGTCCAGACAATGACTTAATTTTTAATGACTTTCTGAAGTGCAGCATAGCTGGTTGATGCAGGAGCAGTAGCTGGCTGCTTTGCTGTATCAGCACATACAGAATCATTTAAGTCAGTGCAGGGCCACTGGCAAAATGTGAATCAGATCTTGCTTTGAAAAAGGGTATCTTTTTTTTTTTTTCCTCTTCCCAACAATGAAAATCCTCCTATTTTCAGCTTGTATATGAAGGTAGTCGTTGAGAGAGACTGCCAAAGGTGTCTATTTCAGTGAAATAATCTGTATGCATGAGTGAAGGACTTGGCTGATCTTGCACTGAGTGCAAGACATAAAATAAGGACTCCAGATAAAATTAGCTGCTATATTCTGGTTTCATGCAGGGCAAAGCAGGTGGTTATCTTTGCCTGTTGCCTTAGGACTTTTTTTAATGTTATATGTAGCTAAGACTTTTGCCTGGACTGTGATGCTTCTGTAGAACGAAAAATTAACTGGAGTGTGCACTTGTTGTTTTGGAAGTTTGATATTAGTGTGAGAGAGTATTTCAGGACATTCTGGTGTGTGTCTTAAACTGTACACTTCTCTCTTAACTAACTGTTCCAGTTACCACTAGCCTAATGGTGGCTCTTTAGGAAAAAGAGATGGAGTCTGACTTAACTTGTGGCCTTTCTTTGCAGGATGGGATTGAGCCCATGTGGGAAGATGAAAAGAACAAGCGAGGAGGCCGATGGCTAATTACACTAAACAAGCAGCAGAGACGAAGTGACCTTGATCGCTTCTGGCTAGAGACAGTAAGCACCAGTGGCAGCTGAGGAGTCTTATGATGTTTGTGTGAAAATACATTTAACTGGTTTGATATTTGTGTGCTGTGCTATTCTCACTTCTTGGCAACAGAGTGTCCTGTAGGGTTTTATTGACAGGCTGTATTTGAAAAATGTTTTTTTCAATAGTGATCTTCATGTGGGTGTATTCTGTCTTAATACTTCCTTGTAACAGGCAGCAACAGGGAGACTTCTGTAGGACAGATTAAGCTTTGCCCATGTAATGTACAGAGCATTGCTGTTGAACTACTGTGAAAATAATATATTGTTTTGAGTGCAACTTGCTGGTTCAATTGATAAAACAATTTGTTTTACAAATACTTTTTAAAAAAGTGAATAGTTTTTGGCTTTGTTGAACAAGGTACTTTCAGATTTACTTTTTTCTTTCTGTGTTTGTCTTAATGCTGGGGTAGGCAATAATAGTACATTCATCTTGTATATACACACCATAAAAATACTTTTTTTTTCCATTGCTCTTATCTCTTTGGCATAGAATTGAATGGTAAATGTGTTTCTAGTGTGGATTGCAGTAAATGTATCACAGAAAAATGTGTTGTCTAGGAACTGACTCAGAATAGCCTAAGACAGTCTGGTGTGGTCTAGAATTTAGGGGCATGGATTGCAGACAGGACAAAGCATAGCAGTCTTGGCAAAACTAATCTTTTGTCCTTGTTTTTGTGAGAAGCAAGGAGTATTGCACTCCTTTGAAAGGGAGAAATGGCCTTCAGAATCAAAGCAGAGGTGTCCAAAATATCAGAGCTTTCAGGATCTTTGTAGTCAGTGTAGTTGTGATTTAAAGAGAGCATTACAGTTCTGGGCAGTGTGACTGCACATGAGCAAATTAACATTTTGCTGCAGGTACTTGGCCTAATGCATGTGTGAGTCCTGACTGCTAATAGCCATGACATATGGCTTGGAAACATGCAGATAGACTGTGCAAACTGAAGGCTAGAGGGCTCTGCTTTTTGCTTAGCAGTGAGCAATGGCACAGAGCCTAAATACCCAGGTGACTGTGATATGTGCCCTAAAACAACCCTGTCACTTCTAATTCCAGTAATTATATACAACCAATATTCTGCAATAGAAGTCAAAGTCTTTATAACTCCCCTTTGGAGCAAAGTTTTATTATAATATAATTATCTTAACTGTGAACTAAACTTCATTTGAGAAGATGTTTTTCTCTGTTGTGCAACACTCATGAGAAATGTACCTGAGTAGTGTTTACTGAGTGTGGTAGTCATCTTGGCTTGCATGTGAACTAAGACACTTGATCGATATTTTGCATGTTTGTGTGTGGTTTGATCTCAACCATTTATGGCTTGAATTACTCAGTGAGTGTGTGCAGCCTGCAGTTGGGTGTAACATTTAATGCATGTTTAGTTACACCTGATTTATTCATTAGCACTCTTTGTCCTTTTTGCATTTCCTTGAGTAAGCCAGCCCTTGGGGGTCTTATGGGTACTGAAAGACCTGCTTTGTTTGAGAAATTGCAAACATGTTGAATTTCCAAATGTTATAAGTGACACCACAAAACCGACATAACCACAGTGTATTTAATGTACGGTGCAGGTGAAGGAAAGGAGTGTCCACTTGCAGATTCAGTGTGCAGAAAGATTTTTTTTTTAATTCAGCATAGTCTAGGCGAATCTGTCTCAAGCACAAAAAACTATTAGTTTTGAATATCAGGATTGCTTGTTTTACAAGTAGCAAGCTGAAGATTTTGAATACCACTTTCACAGTTAGCATGTTGCATGGGGCTGTGACCTGCTCGGTCTGATGCTCCTGGCCAATTCCAGGCTTCACTGCTAGAAACCTGGGAGGAAGAATCTTGTGTTACTTGTGCACCTGCATTGGTGCATTGTATCAAACCCTCTTCAGGATTGTTGATGCCCACTTTAGAGTGTATGGAAATGCTGAAGCTTCCTGTGTTGACAGGCAGTAACATTCCATTGGATAGCACTTACTGTCTGGCTGCAGTCAGATTTACCTCTGAATTGACAGACTTCAGCGTGGAAATGAAACCTTACGTACCTGGTGTTGCACAAATAGCTCTTAACAGGCTCTTTCTAGGTAATGGATAGAAATACCTAAAATTTCAGACTGGTCCATCTGTGTTAAGTGTACTGTAGAAAGAAGAATACAGTGCTTTAATTCTTCTCTTGTTTTGGATTGGGAGGATGGGGTGGAAGGCAGCACTGTGGAAATGATCAGCTGTGTCAGAACTTGTGGCAGGTGGCAGAGGAGGAGGAATGGAAAATTCAGACTAGAAGGAAGATACCCTACTAGAGTGTGTTCACTTGTAATATTTGGAACTTGAAGAAGACACTGCAATAAATAGAAAGTGATTGTTGTATGGCAAGTGGCTGTAGGCAGTAAAATGTGTTCCTCAGTCCTTGTGTACACTGAGTGCTTGCCTACAGAACAGGACTCTGACTCTGAACTGCTTTCTCTTTCACAGCTGCTGTGCCTTATTGGGGAGTCATTCGATGACTACAGTGATGATGTGTGTGGTGCTGTTGTTAATGTTAGAACTAAGGGTGATAAAATAGCAATATGGACAACTGAATGTGAAAACAGGGATGCTGTTACGCATATAGGGTAAGTAACGTGGTCGGTGCCTGGGCTGAATGGAGTGTAACCATGCATGTAAAGCCAGTTAGCTTGATAGAGGAGGCCTTTCAGGCAAGTGGAGCCTGAGCAGAGCTGTATCCCAAGCTTAAGTAACTGTGCCAAATTGTGCTCAATTCTTCATTTCTAAACTACAGTGAAGGTAGTGCTGCAGTACAGAGCAGTTAGTAACAGATGCCCATACACAAATCTTGGCAAAAATTCTCATCTCACAATGACGCACTGTAATTAACGACTGTAGGTAATGTGCAGTCTGTTCCAACCTGCCAGTTTGTAAAGGTGGGTACTCAGTAAGAGTAGAGCATTGATACAATTTTTTTTCCAGGAAAGTGATGCTTACAAATAGGAAAGGAAAGGTGCTGCGAATCTTAAGCACAGAAGGATGTTCACAAATTTGGGGGGGAAAAATGCTGTACAGTGATATGCTGTGAAACTCTACAGGTGTTTCCCTACGTTTTGGCACTGCTTAAGTACAGATGGAGCAATCCTGTGATTTGTGGATTATTTGACCTGCATGCTGTAGTCTTTAAGTAAAGCAACAGTAGTTATCTCAGATTGAGTCTGTGCCATGGAAAATGCATGTTGTGCTTTAGTGTGTAGCAAGTATTACTAATTACACAGTTATTATTTACACAATTCTGTGATTACAGTTACTAATTACACAAGTATATATTGGATTCTGTAGTACTGATGCTTCAGAATAACTTGCTGTTAAATTTGTCATTGTAGGCCATTTACCTTATGCAAACCAATGAAAATATTTATCTTCCTGGCTTAGTGCATCTGTCTTAAGCCAAACTTGAACTGTCAGGCCTAGCAGATTACTTTTTTCACTACCTGATGACTCTTTTCACACATGCCCTTTTTTTGGGCCTCTTAAGAATCTGTGTGCCTTCTACTAACAATTTTATTATACAGTCATATTTCCAGGCTTCATTGGTAAGTGTTTAATAATAAACAAGCAAAAGTACAGTACTCATCTTCTGCTGCCACAGTGTTGCAATAAACCTAGTAGGCATCAGACAGCATTTTAGAATGGTATTAACCATTAACTAAAGAGTTGACTCCTTTAGAGAACTGTGAAAAAGTTAAGATTTTTGCAAACTGACACAAGTACCAAGGTAAGTTATGTTGCCTGCTTGCTCCTGTATTACCCTAACCCTAGACAGGAGTGGCTGTTAGTGCCTTGCATCTCACTCTGTGCTGAGGAGCACTGTGTGTGTCTTTGTGTCTAAGGCAGGTGCTGCTGCTTCTTTCTCTTAAGACATAAGATCCAAGGTGGTTTTTCTTAAAGCTTCTGTTGGGTAAGGTGCCCATGATGAGGTCTGTGGGAGTCTGCTTTCTATCAGTAGTTAAAGGAAAGACAGCAATTCTCTGCAGCCATCATGTGTGGGGTGATTAGAACTGACTGTTCCATGGAATTGCTGTTTTCTTTGGTTCAGGTGACTTTGTCATCTCAGTAGTTCTGGAATTGTGAACCATGAGTTGTACATAGCTGTGTTATTTCTGTATGTGGAAATACAGCTTTGTGGTTGAATGAATGCAGTGTAGGGTCCCTTCATTTTGCGTTTATTTAGGCCTGTTAATTGTTTTTTGGAAGAGCATGTCCTATTAGATGTGGTAAGTCATTTTACAAAACTTTAGGTGGGTTTTAGATCAATACACTGGAAAAAATCATATTTCAAGTCCTTTATCTGAGAAAGTGTTTCTAAATGGGCAACTCTTTTTTTAATGGTGTCCCCAGATCTGAAAAGCAGGTGTCCTGATACTAATTCCTTCCTAAGGACTTTGCTTAAACTGTTGTTTTATTTCTTTTCCTCTCCAGGAGAGTGTACAAGGAAAGATTAGGACTTCCTCCAAAGATAGTGATTGGTTATCAGTCCCATGCAGACACAGCTACTAAGAGCGGCTCCACCACTAAAAATAGGTTTGTTGTTTAAGACGACACCTTCTGAGTATTCTTTGATAGGAGACTGCGTCAAGCAATCGAGATTGGGAGCTGAACCAAAGCCTCTTCACAAGCAGAGTGGACTACATTTAAATTTGATTTCCATCTAAATGTTGCTAAGATTTGTGAGAAGTCTCATTTGCCTTTGTCTTGTACTTCTATGTTCAGTTTTTCTATTTTGGCCGAAGTAACCGTTACCAATCAGAATTTTAGTACCCTTCACCCCCCAGATCCGTAAGTGTGTTTCTGGCCCACTCTGTAATAGCTTGGTAGAAACATTACTATTGCAAAAAAATAATTTGTTTATCCACAGTATTCAGAAGAGAAGTTGCATTTCTGTACCTGCAGGAAATTACTCTGTTTTACATTTGCATTGTATGCAGTAAGATTTTGCTGGTTTGGAAAAGAGTATGGTGCATACAGTTTTCTAGCAATTTTTTTATACAGCATCATCTTTGCTGTAACCTCTGCTGATGGCTGCTAGATTAATTTATTTGTTTTCCCTATTTGATAACATTAGTGATATTTTGATTTCAGTTGTTTTTGCTCATGTAACATTGGTGAAGAATCTGGGAGTATATGACAAAGGTGGAATAAACATAAATTTTGTGCATTCTTTGGTAATTTTTTGGTTTTTTTGTAACATCAGAGCTTTGCTACAGATTTATGCATTTCAGTCAAATCAGTGATCTTTTTATGTGATTTCCTGAATGTAAATGTGGATTTTTTTTTAAATGTAACACCATAATTTACATTCCTTACTAGAAATAGTATGTCTGTTTTTGTATCTTATGCTGTATTTTAACACTTTGTATTACTTAGGTTATTTTGCTTTGGTTAAAATGGCTCAAGTAGAAAAGCAGTCCCATTCATACTAAGACAGTGTACAAAACTGTAAATAAAATGTGTACAGTGAATTGTCTTTTAGACAACTAGATTTGTCCTTTTATTTCTCCATCTATACAGCAAGTATTTGTACCTGTCGTGACAAGGCAGTCTCTACTGTGGCTTCTATTGTAGTGTCTTCCAAGAAAGATAAAGTCTGGAGCTATAGTCTGTTGAAGCTTGTAATAAACCTATTAGATAGCACCCTAAATCAAAGTGGAATTATATCCATGTGGCTGATGTTCTTTCTTAATGGTTGGTCTAATTGATCATGGTTTGTGTTGTTTCTTTTTTGACTTCTCTTTTATGCCCAACCAAGAATTTTAAGGGTACACAGAAAGCTGTTTAGTTTCAGGTAGGAGCTACAGTAAAAGTGCTTCAGTGAGTGATCCTGCTCTAAGGATATAATGCATAAAGTACAAGTAGAGCATCCCAGAGACATGGTTACAAGTAAAAGTATGAGTATCTAGATAGCTTGCTATTACATGTGTCTGAGTAGTTGAAGCTTTGTTTCATTGTTTGAAAGTTACTCCAGAGAGCTGATAGTTTACTTGGAGATTCACAGGATGGTGGAGATTTTGAGGGTCGAGTTCACTCATTTTGAGCATAAGATGAGAGGCTTGTTCTTTCCACCTCTTAGAGCAGAGCATGCAGCAAAATCAGTGCTTTATTGCTGATTTCTTGCTGATTTTTTAAGTGTGTGATATACTTCAAGATCTTGCCAGGGCTGTGGAGCCTTTCTTCAGCAAGTGTCAAGGCAGGTGCTTGTTGGGGTTTTGATCTTTGATAAGTGATTAAAGTGAGTTTAGTCACTGGCAGTGAAGTGTCAGTTGCATCTGCCTGATGAAGGCACTGAAGTGTCTGTGTGCTGAAATAGACTTGAACACTTTTCTTGCACATTTGTTCAGAAATGTGTCATAAGGAGCATATCAGACTATGCCAAAAATGTCTGGATGATTATTACAGTTTAATAGAAACATTTAGAACAGACATCTCTATTTAAAGATGCTATTCCTTCAGTACTGGTCATCAACCAGGATATCTGTGAATGTGGAGAGAGCTGTCTGGGCTGTTTGTGTGCTGGTTTCTGTGAATTCTTGTGTAACTGGTTGCCTGTCCTGATTCAGCAGGTGTGAGATCAAGTCAGGTTTGTTTAATAGGTCCATTGATAGTAGAATATAGCAGTCCATGCCTGTTTCCCAGCTTGAGCTAATCATCTGTAATGCTTGCATGCATGGGAATGTGAAGATGAATCAGCCTCTCCCGAGTGGTGACTGTGTGTGTGTAATTTGGGAGCGTGGCAGCCAGGCTCCCTCAAAGGAGTGTCACTGGAAATGGTGGTAGTGCTGGCCTTTTGTAAAGAGCATTGAGATTAACCTGAGTGCTGATGTGAGACCTACATAGTACTGCGTTTGTTCATTGCACTACAGGACTGACCAGAGTATTATTTAGGGTAGCAGCATTTTGTTCATCTAGAAAAGCAATTGATAGGGTTTTTTTGGTATGGCCTCAGGTTTTTGAGCCTGAACCTATTGAAGCAGCCAGCTGCCTTGCACTGTAGTATGAAAACTGCAGGCAGGTTGATTTAAGGCTCTTTGCTGCTCACATAACAATTGCAGTATTTTTAGAAGACTTGAGAGGAAATTAGCTGGCATGGTTGCTTTATCAAACATACAGCCTATGCCCTTAATTCATTTTTAGAGGAAGCCAATGACCATGAAACTTGTTTTCTCCAGCTTGCAAATCACTTTGTTCTGCATACTAATGTTGTTCTGATTATAGTGGTGTAGTTTGTATTTGTGTGCTGAGGGAGAAAGCTGAGAGCTCTCCGTTCTGCATGTTACTGTAACAGCCACAGGTTCAGGAAAGGACAAAGTAAATGTAGAAGTATCTTATTGCTGCAGAATACTCAGTGTCGTTGAACTCCCAGCTAAAGGGGAGGCTGTTGGCAATGTGTGGCTTTAGTAAGCCTGGGAAGACTACAGAGTAAATGCATGAAGCATCTTTTCAGAAGTGGGGTTATGTGGTACAAGACCAGAGCAAGGAAAGACAGCAGAAATTGCTGTGCTAGAAGAGGTAAGAATGTGCCAAAACACAGCCTGTGAAGAGGGGGAACTGATGAGGAATGTGTGTGAATTGTCAGCTTCTGGGTATAACGTTAAGTCTTGGACTGTGCAATGCTTTTCATTGTCACTTCTGTTTGTCCTGCTGCACTGTCACTGTCTTGTCTATCAAGTTGTCTCTAGCTCAGGAAACTTTATTCCAATGCTACCCAAATTCTGGAAACTTGGAAGTAGTGGCTTTTAGCCAAGCTTGGAGTGAGCTCAAAGCTTCCATCCTACCTAGTGGAATCCTTTCTTACTAAATTGCTTGGAGAAAGTATTCTGGCCTCCATTCTGGGACTTTTTCACTAAATGCAAAAAAAAACCCCAAACAAACAAAACTAAAACTTTGCATTTCAGTCTCTGGAAGTGTCATGGATCTTCCCTTTGATATGTGACCTCTCATGTTTCCAACAAGCTTAATTTTTGAGTCGTGGCCTGATGGTTTTAAAACTAGTTTTTAAGAACATGCTCTACTCAAGTACTCTACCAGACAGTTAAGCTTGATAGTTAAAACCATAGAGCTTTCAGGCTGCCTGGTACTTAACTTTTAGATGACTTTGCCCTCTTAAAAACAGTCAGTGGTTTCTGCAAATTTTTTTGTGTGGAAAAAAAAAGGGTTTTACTTAGGTCTTAAAATAACTCTTTTTAAATGTAGAATTTGTGCCTTTTCCCATTGGGCAAGAAATAGACAAATGGAAATGACATGACCAGGAAGGAGATAGGTATAACTATTTCATTGTGAGGCATTTCATACCTGTCCATCTAATTTCTTTGGAGGGTGGAAGTGTAGAGTGCATTGGCAAGCAGTGTGGAACCAGGCCTGTGGAAGGCACCTGCTGCACCTCCATCATCGCTGCTGAGCTCCAGGAGCTGTTCAGTCCCAAAGGCTTGCCATTTCTGATCTTGTGGGACACATTCGCTGCAGCTGCTTGAACAGATTTTCTGTCTTGTAGGTCTTAAAAGTTTTGTATTCTGCCAGAATTTGTGTTCAGGTGTCTGGCTCTGGCACTGCAGCAAAGCCTTTAATAAGCACTTAAATTCCTTCCCCTGTGATAACAACCACAGTCACTCTTCCTCTTGCCTAGTGGCTGTCTGGCACTTTCCCAAAAGACTATGGGATTCCCTCCTAGCCTTTCTGTTTTGAAATAAAGCAGGTTCTGATGTCCAGAGCTAAATGTGAATTATGGCTGTGCACATGATGGTTGTTATGCTTCCCAGCGTTAACTTGTTATTTTGTGTGATGCCTTAAATGTAAAAACATCCTAGCTGAAGTCTGCCTGTTGGTATCAGTTTGCCTGCTAACCAAACAACTCAGATTTTTTTTTTTATTCCCTGCTAGTACTGAGCGTGTGACAAGCTTAGCTGTGAATTTGTGGGGTTTATGACTGCGTGGGGTTTATGACTGCCTATGCTTTTCTTGTCTCCATTTTTCTAAATCCTGATGCTTTTCAAGCCTTACTAAAACATGTTTAATAAAGGGAAAAATTACACTGAGTCTAGTCACTGCTTTTTTAGTCACTGTGATACCATGGAGAATTCCAGGTGTTGCTAAACCCAGATAAAGACCGTGTGTGACTTTGGCATAATAATCTGCTTATGGGGTTTCATTTTTTTATCTCTAGCCATGTAAGTATGATAATAGTGAAAATGATACTTGAAAGTGTGTGTGAATATATCGTATATAAAGCAAAAATTACTCATCTATTTTTTCAAGGTAGAAAACTGTTTTGTTATTTCTAAAAGGTTTCTTTGACTTTCTGTAATGAATTACTGGATTTTGCTTACAATAGGTAGTTTAGATCAATCTTTTTTCCTATGTTGTGCCTATTATTGTTATCAAAGAGTTGGAGCCAACCTCATAGTTCAGGTTTGGCATTCTTTGAAGTAAAGCTAGTTTTTGAGCCTTATCTTCCTCCACATGTACAGGGTAGTTTATCCTAGTGCATCTCGCCCTGAGCCGTACAGATACGTAGAAAATATAATGGGAAATTGGAAGGTACTACTTTATTTCTGTAGTTTGAATGAAAATAAAGTTTCTGAGGAACTAATGTCTCAGCTTCTTGACTCTGTATGGGATGTAGAGAAATGCAGCTCAAACATATATGAGTGTGGAACCACTTTGGAACCTGTGTTCTCTCTTCAGTTTGCAGCTTGTGTGTCGCTGAGGCTCCTGCAGCTCACCCACACATCAGCCTTGTTCTGCACAGAGCTGGTGTTAACAGCAGTGATTGCAACACTGTAACACTGTGATTGCCAAATCACGGCTCTTCCCTTGTTTACCACAGTTTCTCCGTAGGAAGGAGTAGACTAAATACGGTGTAGTGGATCAACCATCAGCAAAGTGCAGCTGGACCCTTAATGGGAGCCCCTGTTGTGCCACTGCAGTGACATCAAACAGCTGGAGACAGCGCCGGGAAGTCGGGCTTTGGTCTGCCTGTGCTGTCCACTGGGGGCTTCAGCACCAGAAAAAACCTCTCTGTAGGTGTATCACTGAGAGCTGTGCACTCGAGTGCCAGAGAGGTTTTCTGATCCAAGAGTAGATGTTTGACTTGGCTGTAAATTGACCTCACTACATGTTCATATTGTGTGTTTGAAGTGGGAGTGCTCTTGCACAGCGAGGAAATGGTGACTACCAAAGTCCAGAGGTGGAGATGCTGCTTCAAAGTTTCCTTGGATGTGGAAATTTCATCTTTCAGTACATTCCCAAAAAGCAAGGGAGAAATTTGCAGGCTGACATGTGGGGACAGATACATCCCAGGTTGTTTGGGTAAAAAAAGAAAAAAACTTAGAAAAGTCCCATAAGTGTTTATTGCCTCAGTGGTAGAAGTCCCTGTACCCACCAGCTGGGGGGGTCAGGGGGAGGTGGGCATCAAGGGCAGAACTGAGGTTTGATCATTCTTTATTTTTTTCTGCCTCAGGCCAGGAAGGTTTTTCAAAAGTCAGTTGGGGAGAAATAAAAATTGGCAACTGGATTCAAGCACTGACAGTTTTATGGAATTTTAAGGTACATTCCCCCTTCAAGTTTCTGGTATTCCTTTAATTATGGCTACAGTAGCCTCTAACCCTCAGTGTTATTTAAAGTTTGTGAGGGTGCCAAGGCCACATGAATGTCTCGTTTTGTCTTCATCAAACTTTGCTTTGCCAGTGTTTTGTGGGGGCTGTAACAGCAATAACTGAGCAATGTGCTGCAAAAACCATTGTTTGGATATGGATGACTTCTTAAGCAATAGGTGATTCTTTCACATTTGTGCAGAATGTGACAGTGATACAAGGGGAGGAATTAGGTTTTGTAATGGATTTGATGCCTTTCCTTGGCCATTGTTTCTCGGTAGAGGCAGTGGTGTCCAGCTGTCTCTGCACAGCTGTGCACAGCTGTCTGACAGCAGCAGGAGCAATGGCATTGCTGAGGGGACACTGAGGCAGCTCTCAGCTAGGAGCTGCTTCTCTCCTCTGAGCTTGTGCTGCGGGTGCTCTGTTATCTCCAGTAATCTCTGGGACTGAGAGATGAGGTTTTAACTTCCGCTCTGCAACATGATCTCCTCCAGCTGCACTCCTGTGGTGTACAAACATGCTCCTGCTTCTGTGCACTTGCTGGTTTGCACTAACCCTGCCCCTTTGTGACTTTCTAGATGGGTATTCCTGTGAAACTCTAGGTGTTCTGCCAGAATGGGATTAATTCTGGATTGAATACAAGCCAACCAACCTTTCCTCCTCTGTGCTTTTGAGGCTACAACTAGAAGGATGATGGTTTGGGGTCATCTCTACTTAAAATACCTTGAGGCAATTCAGTCCTACTTCTTGGCTTTAGTCTTAGAGCTTTTCTAGGTTTGAACAAGAGAGAATCAGCTTCTTGGAAATGATGGAGTGTAGCTATGCCTTTGTTTTAATACAGATAAGCTTGAACTGTGGCTTAGGTCTGCTTTCCTGTTCCCTAAAGGAATTTGCAGCAGAATTGGCATGTGTCAGCAAGGGAATAAAATGCACTGGCAGTGTGAGGTGTTTGCAGTGAGATCATTTGCTGGCTGTCCTGTTGCCAAGTGCTGTGTCTTGCAGTCCTGGGTCCAGACTTCGTAAGGAGGTTTGTACTGGCCTTAACTACATTTGAGAATACTTCTGTCTCAAAATCCTGGTTTCTTCCATGTGTTGTGTCAATTTTCAGAGGTTTTATTTTTGCCATTTTATAACAGGTGCTGAGGATTTCTGCAGCATTGCTGAGCTGTGCTCAGTGGTAACCATTCTTGATACCCTTAACTATTTTGTATATGTATAGCTGTTATTGGAGTGCTAACATTTTCTAGCAGTTCTGGGGCACCATGCTGGTTAATGCACCTGCATGCTGGCTGCAGCTGGGTTGGTTTGTTTGGAGTAGAAGAGAGAAGAGATTCCTAGCTGCCTAGTGCATGTATTAAGGGTTGGTTTGAGGAGTTTTTTCCCAAAGCTGAGCCATAACCTTAAAATGGAGACTGCAGATAGTAAAGGCATTCTTTCAGTTTATCTCTCAGTGGAGAGGGGGTGGCCAGCAGCAAGCAGATCGAGGAGCACCCTCACAGGAATGTGCCAGAGGGCAGTGAAACAATTACTCAAAAGCAACTGATTTCCTGGGGCACTGAAACAGCTTCTCCTGGATCTGGAATGGTCAACCCACAATGCTGTTCAAATCTGTAGGTTTTGTCCTAAACGTTCTAATTCCTCCTTTGCAACTGCTCTGTGAGGTGACTGCTGTGCATGTATCAGTTCTGTTGGTTGCTTTTCTTAATACAGTGGTCTTGGTCTTCCCAGTTCACCCCATGCTGCTCCCTTACTACAGCGGGCAGAAATCAGAGTTTCTGAAAGAGCTTTGTTGGACAGGGCAGTTCATATTTTCCACTTTGTAGTCTGAGCTCTCCCTTGGGACAATTGACTGTAAAGGCCTTTTAACTGCAGAAGACAAAAAGGGGAAGAAAATAAGCTTGTTTGGACTCTGTGCAGCAAAGTCCCTGTGTAAACATCAACCAGACAAGAAAAGAAAGACTTCTGCTCCCTGGATGGAGTTTGCCATAGCACTGGTCCAATGTTCAGCTCAGGTGTTAGCAGAAGGCTCTGGGGTGGCATGAAAGGAAGAAAGGCAGAGAAAAGTTTCTGTCACTTCCTGATAGTCTGCCAATGTCTGTCCTGGTCTTCATGTCTGTGGGGAATGCTGGGGTAGAAAATGCAATCACGGGTCTTCCCTACTTTTCTTCTATCTCTGTGATGTTTTACTGAAAAGTAATTCAATTGAGTTTGAGGCCTTCTTCAAATTTTCCTTTCCCTAGAAAGGGAAACAAATCAGATAAGCTGCTACTTAAATCTTTTGTTTTGGTCATCTAGTGAAACCTAGTAGTTTGGGCTTTTTTACAAATTTCAGTGAACACTGAGGGCTGAGTTCTTGTTTTGCAGGCCACATTGTTACCCATGGAGAAAACTGTTGAGAGCTTTGTAACAAGCTAGCTCCCAGCTAAAGCTCACAGTGAGATTAATTTGACCAAGATAAGGGATGAAGGGAGTTGCTATCCCAATTAAACTGTGTCCTTGGCCCACGGATGAAGTAATGCACAAACACAGGTGGTGGAGCAAATAGCCTGGGAAAGTGGAATAGTTATACCAAAAACAGCACGTAGTTAGCTGATAGCTAGTTAGCCAATGGTGAGCTGGGATTTTGCACTATGCATGAGCTAATTAAAAGGTGTATAATAATCGGTGATTTGGGAATAAAGACGAGACTTGTCGATCATCATATGGTGAGCAAGTCTTCCTTCTCCATCAGAAAACAGTCACAATTTAAAAAACTTTGTTGGTTTGGGGTTTTTTTCCTTTTCAGCAAGTTGCTTTTTTGCTTTGTTTTAAGCAAAATGGGGACAATCTATCGTGGTCTAGATTTTGCTGCAGAGACTCTAGGAAGAGTCAGGGAAAGGAATGTGTGGTTTAGGAATTTTTGCCCTGGAAAAAGGAACTCCTCAGTGACAAAGAACAGGCCAATATTAGGAAGATCCAGCAGGATGATGTGCTCCCTTAGGGAGATGGTTTCCAGAGGCACAGGTAAGAACAGCTCCAGTCTACCCAGGCTGCAAACTCCCCAGTCCTGTGCCATTCCTGGCTTTTAGGCATCCTCTTTTCTCTGTTTTGTGCAAGGCTGTTCTGCTGAGGGCACGTGGCCACACATTTCCCTGCAGCAGGCTGCAGATCACACACACAGAGTGTTTGGGAGCTTCACCAGGTGTGTGTTTTTTCTTCCAGATAGGCTCTGGAAAGGTTTGACAGCTGGGCCTGTTCCCACTTCCTTCCTGGCTGAAATGATTGGATGCTGACTCAAATACTTGCACATTTTCCAGGTGCAGGCCTCCAGCTGCCATCTGCCCTCAAGCAGCAGTAAGATGGTTCTGTAAAAACTTCAAGTGGTGAGCACACGTGGAAGGAGACACTTGGCAAGACAGCAGCAGGCAGCGTATCCCAAATGGAGCTCCAGTAAAAAGAGACACGCAAACCAGCAGTGCCTTGCCATTCCCCAACAGCTGGTATTGTGTTTTCCGTGTTTAGGGTCACCTAAAAACACCTCCACTATGTTTTCCTCTAAAGCTGTTCCTGTCTGCCCCAGCAAGAAGGACTTAACACGTGTGGAAAAATCAATGGGCTTCTGCTGCAGGGGGTTGTGGCATGGGCTGGCTTTTGCAGGGATTCCTTGAGAGAGCTTATTTCTTTTATCTAGTGGCATGAGATGTTCAAGAGGAAAATAACTGCTGCAGAAATTGTTCTTGTGCCTTGCCACAGTCCAAAGCTGGAAATACCACAGTTGGAGCAGTTCTCTGTAGCTGCCTGGATTAGAAAGGTAACTCATAAACCACGGTGGATGTTTTTTAAAATGCTGATAGTTGTTTTCAGAGTGCAGCTTGATGTGACTGTTGTTCTCCCTTCAGAGCAGGATAAAAATACTTATCAACATATTTGTTAATTCTTATCTATTACGATGAGTTGCGGTACAAGTAGGAAAAATTAATTATATGTAAATATAACACTGAACTGGGCTGATAGGAACTTGTGTTCTGTAGACTCAAATGTCAGTAAAAGGGGATATTGTTTTACTTGTCTCCATGTGGTAAAATCCAGGACTTTTTTATTCTCTGGAGGCAGTTAAAAAACCCCAAATTTCCCCCAAATGCAGTAGTTTCATTACTGAATGATACTTTATTTCTTAGAGATACTTTATTACTTGGAGCATTCCATGCAGAAAGCTACATTTCTGCTCACTTGGGAGCCAGTAGCTCTGCTGTTTGCCTTCCTTTGGCACATACTGTATTCCCAACCATGCTTATTTTAAACTTGAGGCTGACAGCAAAGGTGTCCTACTGACTTGGTTAAAATATTGACTGAATTTTGTGTCCTGTTCCTACAGTGGCCAGTGACAGATGAGTAGGAAACAGCTTGAGGAATGAAAGATCCATAGTGTGATTTTTCCTTTGAGATAACTTGTCCACTTTTGGCAAAAAAAGTGTGCACCTAAGGCTGCTGTGGTTAATAGCTCCTGATTGATCTGTCTCCATTAATTTGGTGAGTCCCTTTCTGAATGAATTTACAATACTGGTTTTTGAAGTTGACACAGCAGTTGAATTTCCAGCACAGCGATGCATTGTGAGAAGGCACTTCCATTTGTGTCATTGCAGCTTTCCACAAAACAATTCAGACTGAGCCTCCCCTTTCGATTCAGTCTGGTGGCAGATATGTCAGAACTTAACAAAAGAGGGTGGAGATAGCTTTTTTTTTTCCCCCCCAAACTGTGGTCTCTGCCAGTCCTGTTTGCAGTTTAGTTTGCATATTTTTTGTGGGTTTCCGTTGCTGAGTACTGGAAGCCTGGTTAACAACTTAGTATCTTCCACCTAGGGCCATGCTAACCATACTGTTACAGCATGCAAATAAAAGTCTTGCAATTGACTCATAAATGCCATAAAAAGAATGGAATTACAGAAGCAGAAAATCTGATTGCAAATAAAAAAAAAAAGAGCAACTCCTGATAATTAGCACAACTTTTCCAAAGCAGTACTGTGTGGCCCTCTCCAGTTCTGCCTTACCTGATCAAGAGGACCAGGGTTGTTTCAAATGCAAGCACCCTGATAACAGTTAAATCACTAAGTCCAGATGTCACTTGGCAGAGCTGTCTGTAGGTACTGTGTGATTTTTCACTTTGCTGATGCTGTAAATCCCCTTTCAGTTAGAAGTAACCAAGTGCAAATGCTGTATATTTGCAAAGGAACCTTCTCTGGCCTCGCGTGTTGCTGTTTCCAAACAGTCCCACGATGACTTCAGGAACCTCGTGACCTAATAAATGAAACAGCCCTAAACAAAGGCAGCCTAATCTCCTCACTCAGGCATTTTGCCACGGAAAGTCACTGTTTGCTGGCTCAACACTGTCAAACAGGAGAGGCTCTGAGAGGGAGGTGACTCACCATGGAAACTCTGTCATCTTTCTTTCCTGCATTCCCCTCTCTGGGCCCTGCAGATCAGGACCCGCAGCAGCCCGAGCAGCGGGACCCCAGGTTGGGGAGAGCTGTATTTCCATGGGAGCATCTCCCTGGGGAGCACCCGCCTGTCTCTTCCTGCTGCCTGCTTCCAGAGCTCAGGCTCCCTCCTCCACTGGGAAAAAAAAAGCTTCACAGTCTTTTGAGGTAGCTACAGTAGCTCTTTCTTTCAAAGCTGACCTTCAAGGGAATAAATGCTGTCAGCCAGATCCTACTTAGTGCTGTTTGAAGAACAGCTGAAGTGAGAGAGATGTTTTGAGACCATCCCGATTATTTTTTTCTTTATCTTCAATTCTGCTTGTTCTTTATGTCCCAATTTTAAGATCCTGTCTGTCCTGGTGACAGAACGGCTGACCTGGAAATGTAGAAGCATGAATTAACAAGAGCAATACTTGGGTCTGCTTGAGAGGAAGGTTTTTGTGGGTTTTTTTTTCTTCCTTTGGTTATTCCAGAATAATTAATTCATGATAAAGCTTGCAAAAAGGAAGGAACTACTGTTACTGATAAATACTAGTATGTATAAAACCCTCACTCTCCTAGGTATTAACTTTACTTTTTAGGGAATTCGACCTATTACTGCAGCCTGAATTTCAGGTTTCTAAATTTCTGAATTTCAAAATTTCCATGCCGAGAGAGTCTGCAAAGGAGTAAAAGCCTGACCTTGATGTAATTGCTACAACTGTTCTGTGTAGAACTGTTAATTTTTCTCTGCCAAAGAAATGTCTTATCAGATTTGATACATCATGTTGCCTCCTGAAAAACTTAACTCCTTTCTAGACAAATTTAGTTGAAGATAAAAATACTCTTAAAACTAATAGTGTGTTATTTGTACACAAGTTTTAGGAGTAAAGGAAGTTTAATGAACATCCCTCATCTTACCTCCATAAAATTAAATTTCATGCATCTCTACTGTAATTAATTAATGAAAAAATTCTTATTTATTAAGCTTACGAAAAAATCAGCCAGTCCACATAACTTCTTGAAGATACACTTTCTACAGTCCAAGATTAAGGGGATACAAATTTTTCGAGAACTGATTGATAAGCTCAAATAGTAGAGAATTCCAGCTATAACTTACTTTCCTTTGAAAAAATATGGAGTGTGAGGAGATGATAAGATTTATAGCTTCAAGAAGTTTGCATTTTTTTCAGTCCTCAGATGTAATGGAGGTACCTGTTTTTGTTACAGACCTTGATGTAATGCACAGGCCGTGTTTGGTGCCTTTATCTCACATAAAGTTTTGAGGAGATCTGTAATGCAGCTGTGAGCTCTGCACAAGAGTGAGCAGCTGTGTGAGTGCTGGGCATGCTGCTGCTGCTGAGTCATGCTGACAGCTCAGCCTGGGCAGCTTTAATCAAGGTTCAGAGGGGAACAGGGCATCTCTGAGCACTGAGCTAAGACCAAGGAATCCTGCAGGCACTGCTGGTGCTCAGCTGGCTTCTTGCTGAACCTGCTGTGCCAGCCTCTGAGCTGGCAGGAAGGGAAAGAACGTGGCTGCTGATCCTCAGGTTTCTGGTACTGTAATTAGGGCTTTGGCTTTTTGACTCGCTGCAGAACATCTTCTTAAAGCCACCAGAACAGTTCCTTTGCTGTTAAGTGTCACTAGGGGTGTAAAGAAATTTTCACTGACTTCAAGGATGGTGCTCAAAGTGTGACTTTATAATTTTCCTTAGATGTGATTAGGTACTCTTGCAGTGGAGGCTGCCACTGCTGCCAAGGGACTGTGGGGATATTTATGAAATCCTATTTACATGTGAATTAACTGTGAACGGATGAACTTACTTTCTTCTTCTAACCAGTCAGGTTAAGACTCAGTCATGCACATGGAAAACAATAGAAAAGGGACTTTTATCTTATGGGATCATAAGACAAAAGTGTTTTCTCCCCCAGTCAGTCATTTGTGGTATCTGCCACAGGATGTCCTTTGGCAAACATAAAGCTGCCATAGAAAATGGCTTCATGGACAAGGTGCATAATGACAGATGTTCTTTGTCATCGGGTGGGTTTATGCCAGGGGAAGGATGTGCTTCCTGTTCTCTGGCTTTATGGAAATGCATTTGGTTGGGGAAAGAGGTGATGGTATTTGTATGTGATAGTTCATATCCTGTCATGGACAATTTGTCCTTTCAGTATGAGTCACACTGGTTAAGAACTGCATCATGCCAATCACTTGTTTCATTTTGTTAATTGTTAAAAGTAAGGCTGGTTTGCTCCCTCAGCTACCTTGCACTAGTTATCTTGCCTTAGATGATATAAATGAAGATCACTCCTTTTCTCACAACCAAAGTGACTCCTCCAGCTCTGCCAGCTCTGGTTTGCAGCTGCTGTCAGTTGTTATTTTGTCCAACTCAGCTATCTGCCTGACACTGGGAGGCTTCCCTTTGGATATATTCATTGGATCTGACTTTAGATTTATTTACCACTAGGCTTGTTTTACTGTTCCAAGTAAGGGCCAGCCCCTTCCTAGAGCAGAACGTGTGGGATTTGTCAGAAGGAGACAGCTTCAAGGCTGCCAGATAACCTGACCAGCCTGCTCCCCTGTAAACAATTTTGTGGGCTCTGCTGATAACGATAAAGCAACTGCACTGGAGATGATTGGAAGATGCTGGTATCTGTAGGGCAGCAGACCAGTCCTCCTCCTGCATGCTCGTGAAGAAAAGCACTTTCAAGCTTATGAACATTTATAACCTCTTGTTACTGATGGTGACACCCATCTGCAGTTTTTCTGCTGTCAGTGTGTGTCATCAAGCCCCAGATGCTCGTTGTTTTGTTCTCATCAAACTCCCTGCTTTGGTTCACAGGCCCATAAGAAACTCTCCGTGGCTCTTTGCAACAAACTAAACAATTACAAACCCCTTCCAGCCCAGTCTGGGTGATGCTTATCAAAGGGTTACTCATGTAGGTCTTGCCTGTATTAGATAAGGTGTCTGCCCCTAGAATGAGACACTTGGATCCATGGAACTGCTGGTTAACTCTGTTCAGTCTGTATCTGAAATTGATTTTAAGCCTTGCAGGATTAATATAAGCTTTTTCAGCTAGGGATTATAGACCTATGAGGACATGCAGATGCCATTTTGCTAGTTATAAATTGTATTGTAGATTAAATTCCAAGGGACTCAGGTATTTTAAGAGTGCCATTCACCCCTGCACAGGTGAATTTATCTGGTATCCATCTGTGATGAAAACCCTGAGAAAGTGTGGGCCTGTTACAATGACAGCAATAGAAAAGTGATAGCTTTAGGTCAAACCTGTCAGGTTTCACCCCTGTGAGGAGGGTGGGGAGAGAAACACCTTTATCCTTCCTGCAAACCATACAAATAGAAAAGCAAAGACTGTAAAGCAGAAGAGAGTGAAGGGAGAATCCAGGTTTAAGCAGGAGGTGACTCAAAAAGAAGCACTATGTCTCCTGCAAATATTTGCTGTGATGAAGCATGGGAAGGCATGAAAGCAGTCTGAAAATCTGAGTATTTGCATCTGCAGAAAGAGAGAAGAGGAATGAGAGTGCAGATCTTGCTATTTTTCTCTGGCTCTGTTGCCAGAGGGCCAAGGCAGGTAATGGTTGCAGATGAAGCCGTTACCTTCCCCTGTCCCCGGGGCATGTGGGCAACCCAGCAGCCTTCCTGCATTGCTTTCATTTTGCTGCAGCTCTGCACCTTGCACCAAATTCTTTTAGAGATCCCTGGAGTGTTATTGCCTGCCCTTGTCTTTGCACCTGTAAATTCTGCAGCAGAAATGGATCAATTTTGCTTGATGTGACTTTGCTGTCTGCTGCCTTTAAATCAGCTTCAGCTGCTCTGAGACTCAAGTGGTGGCAGCTGGGAGACTGCTTAGCTTCAAGCGTGGCTGGAGTTGCTCTGTGACCTGAAGAAAAAGGTGACTGCATTTGACACTCTGGGTGGCAGAATGCCATGCATTAAGGGCAGTGGAAAATAGGTATGTGGGAGGAAGGCCTTACTCAGTTAATACACCTAAATGTGAAGAAAGAGGATTTGGTGTCAAAGTACATCTGTTGCCTGTGGTTTGATGCAGACAGCATGACATGTATTGCTAAACCTTTGTTCCAGCTGTCACAGGCACCTAAGTTTCCATGATTTTTCGTTGGCTGCTGCTTGTGAAATTTGCTGCTTTTGAAATTTACTGCTTCTGACACAGAGGAATATTTTTTCAAAGTGTGAGTGAGCCTGCAGGATGAGGATGTTGATAGCACAGAGCTGACCACACTCTGCTGAAAGCTTTAGTCCAGCAGAATTTCAACTCCTGGCTGCAATGGTAGTTAGAAAGGAAGAGAATAATATTGGACAGCTCTCACCATCTCATCTGATTTGTAGTTTCTGAAGAGATTTTTGTCTTAGACTATTCTTCTTTGCTTTATGAAGGAAAACATATATTTTTTCCTTTGTGTTTAGAGAGCAGGCGTGGATTAGGCTTACTAAGCAATAATCAGCTTTCACTGGTTTAAAATTAACTAAAACAAAACTAGTCTTTTTTCTATCAGCTGGTGACAGTAGGGGACAGAAGGTGCCTGGAGGAGGTGGCTCAGGCTTTTGTGGCACTGTGAAGAGAGATGTGACCTGCAGCAAGCTCTTTCTATTGCCAGAGGCGTGGTGCCACATCCACCCTGGATGGGTTTTCCTGGCCATCTTCCCGCCTGCCAGGATGGCAGTATGGAAAGAGAGGTGAATTCTGCCCTGTGCAGGAGGGAGGGATAGGTGTTATCCTGGTGGTGATGGGAATGCACGTCCTAGGGCTGGTGGAGAGCCAGCAACAGCAGGTGTCCTGTCCTACTGTCCACCACCCTCAATCTGTTCCCCTAAAGAGAGTGTCCTCCCCTCTCCTGTTTTGTGCTGGCAGTGAAATGTTAGAGTTGTAACTGAAATGGGTACGTGGGGGATTTTAAACCCCTGCCCCTTGCAGTGGGGAAGGACACTGATAGGCCTTTGCTGCCTTCTCTTTCTTTGTTCTCTCTCTCATGCTGAGAGCTTCAGTGTTCATGGTGGAGATGCTGTACTGCAGCTACACTGAGCATTCCTTGGTGCGTGGGCAGGGATGTCACCCCCCACATCAGGGTGGTCCCATCCAGCCTGGCCTTGAACAGGGCATCCACAGCTGCTCTGGGCAGCCTGTTCCAGTGCCTCAGCACCCCCTCAGTAAAGAACTCCTTCCTACTATAATTTAAATGTCTCTTCCTTTCATTTAAAACTGTTCCCCATTTCCCATCATTATGTGCCTGTGTTCTTGTTACGTGACCTGAGCCTTTGTCGGTGTGTCCTCCTAGCTCTGTGTAGCCATGTCTGTATCCCTGCCAATGGGATTCATGTGCCAGCAAGGAGGCTGGAGCCTCCATGTTCCCCAGCATGGCTGCTTGCTGGGGCTGGGAAAGCTTGATTTTACTTTATCTTCTCTAATCAAGTTGCTTTATTTTGATTTTGTGTTTGGGTGTGGTTAACATGCCCACTCATCTGGAACCACACAGTGTATGTAACTTCAGTGTGTATCTTCAGGCTCACATCATGCTGGGTCATGATTATTTTTTTTGGCAGAACAGCAGCTAAAGTTTTCCCTTTCTCACTATTAAGCAATTGGGCCAATGACCTCCTCCTGAAATCACAACTGTGACCCATTTTCTGTGCTAAAGCACCAAAGGTGTAAGAGTTCACAGCCTAGCACAGAGCTGTGCCTAGCAGGCAACACTTCCCATTTTCGGTTTCTTCTGCTGGCCAAGTCATGCTGGGAGATGTGACTTAAGGCTAAAAAACCTCCACAGGGTGTGCAAGGTCTGTCTGTGTGTCAAACATCTTTCCACCTCCTCTTAGCACTGAATTGGAGAAGGCTGTTTGCCTCCTCTAGCATTAGGGGGAGCATGGCTGTTGAGAGAGAGGCTACATGGTTGGAAAAAAGAGAAAAACTCACAAACTGAAAAAAACAATTTCTGAACCTTATGAGTCCGGTTTAAACCCTGTCCCTACACAATGGCTTGTTCATAATCCCTGGGCCACCAGTAACAAAGCTTCTGCAGGCACTGGAGATTGAAGGACCTTGCTGTCAGAGATCAGGCCAAGAGGAGGAGTAGAAATGGACAGCCTGATAATTTTGCAGTCCCCTGGGAAGTAGTAAACGAAACTGAGTGGGATTAACAATTGTTGAAATCTTGTTTGGCATTCCAGAGGTCTTGTTAACAAGAGTGTTACAACAGCTATTCAG